GGCACAAACAGCTGCACACACACTCTGTCAAAGTTGAGGTTTGAATTACCACCAAGCTTAAAGATTTGCAGCGGTTTTTTTTTTTTTGGGGGGGGGGGGGGGTGTTGGCTACAGAAATTGGTTGTACAAACAACGCATTTTTTTCCCCACTGAAAGTTCCACTTTTTTTCAGAGGACTGGTGAGTGAACGTCTGTCCTCTTTGATTTTCTGAGGAAGAGAAATGGGTGTTTGGATGAACATAAAAGGTAATGTATTCATAAAAAGCTGTGATGAGTGCAGCTGTCTCCAGCATCTGACATCCAATCTGAGACAAGCCGCCCAGGGAGGTTGGACCATCCTCCACCGTGTGTGTGCACATGTGTGTGTGTGTGTGGGTGGGTGCACTGATGTTTATTGGCACAACAAAGAATTTATTTCCTGATTGAGGAAGATTTTAATTCAAAGGAAGGAAAACACAAGGATTTTCTTTTGTTGACTTGTTAATAGGTTTTTATCTGAGATTAAGAATAATAGAGTTAGTGAAAAACTCAGGCAAATGTTGAATCAATCAAAACATTGGTGCATAAATTAAATAATATATAATGTTGCTAAAGATATAAGTTTAAAAATTTAACTTATAGGTATAAGGAAAATTAAAGTTTTGCATTATATGAGCTAATAAAACCTGATTAAACACAAAGTCATTATTCATTAAAACACATCAAAGCCACATATTTATATTTATTAAATCATTCTCATTCAATTTGAGAAGCCCTCTGAATACAATTCCCCCTTTGATGCATTTAAATGCATTAAGGCAGTGATTTCCAAACTGTGGGCTGCGACCCCTTTATGAGCAGCTGAATGGTCTGTAGGGTCCATAAACCAATGAATTGTTTTTTTTTTCATCAACTATTTGCTCTTTCCTTTTGTTTTGTTGCTTTGGAAATGGTTTAGTGTGTGAATAGATGATTAGTTTAGACTGCTTTGTGAAGGCCAATGTTTAATTAGACTGTTTCTGAGATTAAAAAAGACATATCGGGGAAAAAAATACATTTGAGTCTTAAGTGGTGATCACAGTTATGTTGTTAGTGGTATGGGGGGGCCCCAAAATATTGTTAGATTAAGAGAAGACGTGCATTCCACATTAGGGTAGGCTTATACTGGACAATCTTTGCTGTTTCCATCATCAAGGCTCAGTTTGTCTTTCCTTTAAGAATTCTCCAAAACCTATAGAAAACACACCTCCTCTAAAAGGCATTTTAAATATGGCTGCCCTTATGATATAAATTCCATTTTGCTTGCTATTAAGGTGTAAACAGATGTTGATGATTAGAAGGATTTAATTGGCAGTTGGTAGAGTTGTCACTTCTCAACCAGATGGTTGAGGGTTCAATCCCCAGCTGAGCAACATGTCTGTTGACGCTTATCCCTGAATTGCTCCCACTGCTTCAGTGATGGTGTATGAATGGATTATTTACTTCTGATGGATGATACACATAGCGATCACTACCATCAGTGTGTGAAAGGGTATGAATGGGTGGGTGTGACATGTGGTGTAAAAGCTTTGAGTAGTCGGAAAGACTAGAAAAGCGCTATATAAGCTCAAGTCCATTTACCATTTACCATTTGTCTTCCCTCATTCCTGTTCCAGCTCTACTCCGGCTTCCTGCTAAGAAAGCGCTGCCACATGATGTAAACACCAAACACAGATCCTAATGCACAACATGTTGGCTCAGGTGTGGTGTGGAGTCCAGGGGTGGCCGGTACATCTGATGTGTTTGGGTTTGCTCGAGGGTCATATGGAGGCAGCTTGGGATGAGGTTTGTTATTCTCCTCAGTGAGACACGAGGCACACGCTCTAATTAGAACACATCTCCTGGTGAGAGAGATGCTGAGGTCTGACTACTACTCCTCCAGTCGAATCAGCTTTCTACCTCACTTTAGCTTCTGCACAGAAAACAGATCACTCTTCTGTCTGACAAGCACACAACAGTGGTGGAGAGCGCAGCAAACAAGCGCTGCTAATTTGGGGGGCACAGAGCACAAATTCAATCTAAACAATCTAAACAATTCCCCATCTTCCTCTCACTTTCTTCTGGAGTGAGAAAGGCTTAGGCAGTTTGTTATACAAAGATTTTAACAATCAAAATCTTAAATGTTTCTTGAGGCTCTACAGGTTGTAACATAGCCTCGAGGAGTTCTTATTTCATGTGTTTAATGTGAAGCAATAGGTGTCATTATTGGATGTCATTGGTATGTACACAGGTATAGTAGTGTAGTGTATTGTACCATACTGTATCTTTTTATATCTTATCGTTTATCTTTATTATATTAACTGTAAAATGTTGTACTGATTTTGAACAGTCCATCAATGACATAATGTCACATTTATTATAGTTTGACGTGATATAACGGCCAACATTTGAAGTAACATTCTACCCTCTTCACTTCCCTGGTTTCCACTCTGAGCTTAATAGAGCACATCACATGAACATGCTTACTTAGTGTCATCCCCACAGACTGCAGTTCCAACACTGGTCCTCAAATAGTAGTAGAACGTGTATCATTACGTACTTGAGACTGTGCCACAGTTGTCAGCATTTCATTTTAATTTGGCTCCTGAGCCACTGGTGATTTCGACCACTGGGACATCCTGTCGGCTGCACAAGTTAAACTATTCTGAAGCGCTCGGACTGAACGAGGTACATCGCTGAATCTCTGCCTCTGCAGTGTCAGCTGCTGTCTCACTTGGATTGCAGGGAACCTCATTCTATCTCTTGCGAACATCCAGAGCAAGTGCTTTGTGATATTTTAATTCGGTGCTTCCTAAATAGAGCATGCATGCAAAATGCATTTTCCTGTAGGCATGCATTTAAAATTGTTACAGCTTTGTTAGAACCATACCAGATAGAAAATATTGCAATATTAAGGTCTCAGGGAAGGATCATTTTTGCCACTGCTTCCTACTAACTTCTTACCTCATTAAAAATCCAAAGAGTGAATGTTTGAAGCTTCATTAACCAACAGGGTACATTAACTACATTACAAGCCTGATGAACACCACTGTGACTTTAAACTCTTAAAGTCTGCATTCGGCCATTCCTCCTGACCTGACTTAGATGTGTTTCTGTGAAGAAAAGAGGGTCTTTTGTGTGTTGTTTTCACCCCCTCAGCAAAAAGCTGCTTTAATTCTGAATCAATATTGGACCATAATGTTAAAACAATTGCATCAAAAACAAGGTAAGCCTCCTTTTAAAATCTTCTAATGTGAAAGATAAAATAAAATACGTGTCTGCTCTCGTCCTTGAAGACTTGTTTTTTAGTCTCAGCAGCAGTAACTTATACTCATCAATAGTGCACTGAAGAATTAATCCTTCAGGTATTTTGAGCGTTAAATAATTACCAGGCTGCTCCATATGGATGAAAATGGAAATAGGAAAACATCTTTGGATTAAAAGTGTAATCCAAACACTCAACACATTACACACAGTCCTGAATGGGGCCGATTTGTTTGCAATGCTTCATTTAGCAATAATGTTTCATAACAATTCAAGTTTCAGTATCAGTTCTAACAAATACTCATTAAGCTTAACAAGCACCTCATTAGCTGGAGAGCAAATAGGTCACATCATAGTGCTCCTGAATGCAAAGTATTGCATGATTTGCATTGGCTTCTTCCTAAGGGTATTCATATTTGAAAGTGAAAGATGAGTGTGTGTGAGAGAGAGAGAGAGAGAGAGAGAAAGAGAGAGAGAGAGTTTTTTGACCTGCAGGCAATCTCTGGAGAGTCATTCACTCGCTGAGTCTAATCAGACTCTGGCTGATGCTTGTTCTCAGGGATTTTTGCTCATTCTCCAGCCCTCAGGCCTAATTAGGACCCATGTGGACCATACAGAGAGTTGCCGCTCACAGCGACGGCCACATAGATGTTCACCTGTGTGTCAGAGGAGAGCCACACAAATGAACTGCTGGCAAGAATGATGACAAGAAGGGTATCAGAGGTTGGTGCAGCCACACAGCCTGTACGCCCCCCGACATGGAGGTCGAGAAAGTTAAGTTAGAGAGAGAGAGAGAGAGAGAGAGAGAGAGAGAGAGAGAGAGAGAGAGAGAGAGAGAGAGAGAGAGAGAGGGGAAGAAAAGCTGTGAGGGAAAAGGGAGAGAGACAAAAATTCAGACGTCTGGTATGAGAGGGGGTCACAGAGAGTGGAGCACCTTTTGTGATTCTTCTCTTAACAATGCACTATGACCATCGCAAAAGAGGCAGAGAATGAGGAAGAATGAGAGCCTGAACATATAGCCAGGTAAAAATAAGAACAGGTTTTTTTTTAAGGCTCCTTCTGTTCGCCTTTCTGTATTTCTGTATCAAACGCCGAGAAATCTTCAAAGGACACTCTGTTACATGCAAATTTTAAAAGGGCTTTAGATGGAGTAGTACTCTGACAGATAAAAGTAGCAGACTTCTGAGGTATGTATAACAGAGAGGACCGACATGTCCTACATTTCACTGGGAGTGAAACAGTTCCTAATGATTATTATGGGTTAAGAAAACTCTATCTCTGAGTTTAGTGTTGCAGCGTCTATTAGCTGTGATTCACATTAAGATGCTGAGCAAGTCTGTGCTGTCCTGTACGTCTGTCTGTCCTACACTGAACCTTCACAGTCTCTATGCTCTATCCTCAGTTCTGCTGCTTAGTTGTAGGATCTGCATTTTACTGTTTTGACGTCATTATTTATTTTTGTTTTGTGTGACAAGCTCAGAGCTTAAACATTGGACATGTCAAGCTTTATATTTCAGCCACAGAGTAAAACGTTCTTTTTTTGGTGCATACAGAACTCAAGGACTTATTTTAATATTTAAGAAGTCCAGTAAGTAAGGGGGTAAGCAATCTGCATTCAGACAGGACAAAGTTAGGCACTGGGTAAAGAAAAGTATAGGTATTGTTACATTAAGCTGAAGGTTTAGTTTAGGTCCCCTCTAAGATAACACAGGGAAATAGTTGTAAAACACAGTCCATTGTACTTTTTAACAGACTTTTAATAACAATTAACAACTGGCAAACAGGGGAATCTATTCTATTTTACAGTCTATTTACTCCGTTACTACAGTGTAATGACTCCCAAGTCGTAAAGGGAAGTGAAGCATTATTGGACAGCTCTTGGAGTGTATTCACAATGAAATAATATGAGGCAGTATAAAGAGGAAATATTAGTCGTAATGCCAAACTAGACACTTTTATCTCTCGAGGGGTGCTGATGTCCTAGTAGTAAGGTCACACCCCGTACAGAGTCCATAGTCCTCCAAGCGGCCGGCCCAGGTTAAAGTCCAACCCACAGCTCCTTTCCTGCATGTCCTCTCTCTCTCCTGATTCCTTATACTCTATTCTATGTCCTGTCTAAATAAAGGCAAAAAGCCCAAGAGTAAATCTTTCAGAAAACTTTATCTTAAAGTCTACATGCTCTTAAAAGTGTAATTGCTGTGAAATATGGATGAAGAAGAGCCAGTTCAAGCTCTGACAGTTTGCACAGTGAGTTACTAAAGGGGAATTAAAAAACCTTTTGGTGATGTCAACCATTCAGCCAGAAAACTCCAAAAATAGAGTGGAACTAAATTAGAAGAAGGAAAGCATTAGTATACAGCCTGCAAAATATAATTAACCCCTTACAGTAAACTAAAGATGACCAATCAGTTTACAGCCTGTGTAAACATGACCATTGTTTTTTTATTAAGTCTGTGTACTTAAGCACGTTATTCATTCAGCCCAACAACTTTGAACCTACAGTCTATTGTTGAAATGGAGCTCTGCGGGAACACACATTCATTCTTTCCACCCCTTCTGTCTCCCTGCTTTGGTGACCAGCTGATTGGGAGTGTTTACTCTTTAAGCAATGAATCAAGCAGATTCTGCCATGACCTCTACCGACCAATCATCCTGCTGCTGTCATATTTTAAAAACCTGTTCTCCTCTCTTTCGCTGTCAGTTTGTTGTCTCAGTCTGTGACCCTCCTCCACCCCAGTCACCTCTATTCCATCTCAACCGTGTTCATGACCAATTCCTCCAAAGTCATACTTCCACCACCACCAATGTCTAGACTCCATCAGGGGGTATTGTATCCTTCTGAAGGCCTCCCTACCCCTCGAGGACCCAGTTATTATTATCATAACATGTTTTAATAAAACACTGAGTTCTTAAATAAATACCTAATGTTTGTTCATTCAGGGCCCTGTTTTATTCCCTTGTACTTACATATATGTATAACTCAGATTCAACAGGATGACATTCAACTTTAAAGCAGTTCTGTTTAGTGAAACTCTCCAGTGTTACCTCAGAAATGTTGGTCGTTTTCGGTGCAGAATGATTTACTCTGTTCTGTTTGAAATCATGAGATTTTCCTCCTAATCCTAACTCATGTATCACAAGATAGTTTCTCCCTCTGTTTTTGTATCAGTCTGGCTCAGGCTCAAACAGTCTGGCTTTAGTATTCATACCAGGTAGCAGAATCCAAACTTTTCACTGCAATCATGTGACATGCAGTCCCAGATTCTATTTGATAACCTGCCACGACGAGGTGTTGCCTGCTTTGTCTTTGAAAAGTGATTGAAATTCTTTACACCTACACCCCCCCCATCCACCTACCACCACATGGCACACAACAAACTGTACAGAATGAAATACACCGCCTCAAAGCACATGTTTTCACAGGCATCACAGGGAAAATATGTTAAAAACTATAAGTGATCTTATCTGTTGAAAAGCATCATTTTACTAGATATGATCAAATGGGGGTATGGGATCACAATCAAACATTTCCAAAGATGTATAAATCTGAATAGATTTTCAGTTTGAAGGACTAATGTTTGATTTGGTTTGTTTTATAAGAATCAAACAAAGTTTGCGAGAAGGGATAAAAACTATGTTTTTTTGTGTGAAATGTATTCTATCAAAGTCAATGTTTTAGATGGGACAGATTTCATAATTAAAAAATTGCATCTGTGATCCAGTTTTGTTCGATGATGTTCATGGACAAACATTGTGAATAAGGCAGTGATTAAATACTTTCGTAACTAAATACAAACATGAATTGAGCAAATAAAGCATAGAGCACAAAGTGAGGTGTGCATGATACAGCATATATTGACTTTTTCGTTAACGGATTCAAGCTGGAAAGAAGGAGAAAGACACCCAGTATGGCAATGCACCAACAGTAAGTGATATTTGGTGCTTCATACTTGCATTATGGCTTCACGTTTCAGCTTTCCCACCATAGTGCTGCAGCTTAATTCTGCCCTCCCTGAAGACTTCACTGACATTTTCCAAGGTCTTGCTTTCAAGCCCTGCCTTGATTAGTAAAGCAGGTTTTAAAAAGGAACTAATCCCATTCCCTGGAATATCCTCCTTTCACAAACCAGTCAGCAAATGGAGATAGTTGTAAGCAATAAAACACAGTTACAGGAACAGAAACCCAAAGCTAAAACGGATGGCTATATCTGGCAAAAACCGGATGCAGATGATAGCTGGTAACTGATCATTACAAGTGCAAAAGCAATGTCATCCTAAATGTTATGTTCATCAGTGTCACTTACAAAGAATAATACTGCTCCTGTAGTTTTACATAAAGTCTGGAGATTGTTAGCTATCCATCTCAGTAGCGACATATTATACGATGCCTGACAAGAGAAAATATGCTGTAACAGCCCAAAGATCTCCATAGACAGAAACAGGTTTTCATTTGAATTAAAAAATTTAAAAGCAAAGCTATTTAATGGAAAGATAGCTTTGCTAAAGTTACGGCAACTGCTAGGCTACATGCTGCTGCTCCAAAGCCAGTGTGCTATAAATGCATCCATAGCTGGCTAGTATCACGAACATAACCAACTAAAATAACTAACAGCCCCACTTAGCAGTTATGATATGTTCATCAAAAACTATTCCTCCATAAAAAAAAAGGCTGTTTCACTTAAACATGAGACTTAAGAATGAATAGCGTATCTTTTGGGCCATTGCAACATGTCTGCTCTTGTTCCTTTCAGTATAATATGGAGGTTTTTGACAAAGAAATATGGCAGTCTTTCTTGTTCAGTTTAAAAACACTCCTCTACTCCCACTTGAAATCATGACCCACCATTTCATAAAACTTGTCATTGTAAGGTCTATAGAAGTCTCTCAGTTGCTCTATAGCGTCTCTGTCTATTTGCACATGAGTTCTGCCCTTTGACTTTCCCAGGCAGCGAGGCGAGCCGCTGCTTTCAGGCTTCTTAAGGCAAGGGAAGCCCTTGGTGCGGTTAAAGTAGAAGTGTTTGTCCGTGACAATTCGCTTTAACCCGAGGAAATCTTGCACCCGAGCCAACTCCCCTGCTGGATCTGTGATAAGACGCTCTCCGCTAACAAAGTGGATCTGAGCCAAAGGGAAGTAGCGGAGCCAGTTCTCGAGATGTAGAACGTACAAACCGATCCTGATAGCATTCCAAGTTGTGTCTACAATGCCAAGACTCTGGTTTCTGAAGGCCAGGTCCTGGAAGCTGGGCAAGTCAGGAGTTTTGGATAAAGTTTGAGTGTAGTCCGATATTGCACGGGTCACTGGGTCTCGCACCACCACAATGAGCTTTGTTTCTCTGGACATAGCAGAGATACGATGTGGCGTCTCTTTTGTCACAAAGTAGCTTGGCGTCTTCTCCATTGTGATTTGGCTTTCAAGCGTCCTTGGCATTAAACCTCTGAATGAAAGATAAAAACACAAAGATAAAGGTTTCTCATTTACAATCACATTATTTAAGTGTTTTCTAACATTTTCTCACTGTTTTGAATTACATAAAAACCACAAAAGCTAACGGATTCAGACAGAGGACACACTGTCCTTGCCTTCACTCTGTCAAAAGGAAAAAATTGTGTATTAGATGTCTATTTAGGGCAGGATTACTCAAGTGAGCTTCAAAGCCACAGAACCAACAGAGAAGCTCCAGTTTGGCCATGAACCCAGTTTCTTCATGTAAATGATAATAAGAGCACTGACGCACAGTCATAGTAGTCTGTTGTCACAGGAGACCAGTCTCACAGACAGCTCTCCTGTGCATCAGCCAGCCTAGTTCAAGAGTAATAAATCATGATAAATGCAAACAGAACACTTACAGCAGAGCGACTCTGTGAGGATAGTTCTGGGTCTTCAAACTAGGCCATTGAAGTCTTCAGAGTAATGAACAGGTATATGCACAGAGTAAAGTTTGAAGTTCCAGTTTAAACATTGACTAAGGACATGGTTTTAACTATTGATGTGCACTATCAGTCCACCTAACTATTAAACAGTATAACCCTTTAGTTGCTAGTTGGCACCAGAATTAGTTGGTTAAACTAATCATTGATATTTTTTAATAATGTACTGTAGGCGCAAAAAAGCCAAAATGTTGTGTCCAACTGTAACACATCCACTCACCACTAGCTGGGGCTGTCCTGATAATGGTCCTGCTCTACTGCATGGGAGTAAACCAAGCAGGAGTCTTTTGTGTTTACTTGTAGTTTTTTTGTTGTTTTGCACCTGAAGTTTTATTACTGAGTGTGTTCCTTATTCTGCTGTTAAACCGGCATTTAACCACTCTACAGGAAAGGCATCACTACATTCAGAACGTGGAAAACCAATTTGAATTTGTTTACTTGCAGAGTAATGCATATCACAAAGTGCCACAGATTTCAGCAACATTTAAAGGCTTTATATGTCATTTTTCACACTTAGATATAATAGAAATCAAGTATATCCTCTGAAAATAACTTTGTGAGTCATGACTGTCTACAATGGGTGTAACACTGTCCCACTGTCGGTGATGTTTTCAGAGTTTTCAGAGTCCTATCTTCAGTTTGTTTACATCGTCGGGATGGCCGGCTGACTCCTCCCCTCGCGTATAAAAGTTGTTTAATTGAGGGACAAGAGAAAAGAAGAATAACATACTGTACTCACTGCTTAACTGTGTTTCTAGATCACGCTCATTTTAGGTAAATTTACATGCAGTGTGAAGATACGAGCATAATAAAGATCGTTAGCATTAGCATGCTAACACAAGAATGCAGCGCGAGTTGTTTTGGTTTCATGCTGGTGCTCAAGGGCGACATCTGCTGGATCAAAAAATCACATATAAAGCCTTTAACATAGCAGTGAATTTCGTTGTTGAAGAATGTGACAAACTATTTCAACTAATAATTAAAGGATTATACTATAGGACAGTGTTTATCCATGTTAAATAAGGTGTGTTTTCTGGGTATTTTTATAAACTTTGGACTAGTCTACTTGTTAGAATTTTAAAGTCTGTTTAAACGTCAGGAAAATTAGTAGCTAAGATCGATCCCTAATTTTGAATTTAAAAAAAGCCATTCAATCAGGCTTTAAGTAACAATTTTGTTTAATTTCTTCGTCTAGTTGATAAATCCTATATTTTTATTTGGTTTAAAAAAAAATTCAAATAGAAATTAGGATTCTAGTCAACCTAGCACTGCGCGCTGGTGGCGCAATGGTTAGGGCGCGCGTCCCATGTATTGAGACTCTCGTCTCGAGCGGTAGGCCCGGGCTCGCTTCCACCCGTGGCCCCCTTCCGCATGTCATTCCCCGCTCTCTCTCCCTGGTTTCAGACTCTATCCACTGTCCTCTCTCTGCATTAAAGGCACAAAAAAAAAGCCCAAAATAAATCTTTAAAAAAAAAAAAAAAAACTAGCACTGCGCTTTAGCGTTTAGCATTTGATGTCATTATTACTTTCCTCTCTTCCTGTCTATCTTTTTCCAATCAATGACCAACTGATGCATCCACACCTTGGCAGTTAACTTTACTAATATTAATTCTTATAATTTCTTTGGATATGAATTTAATGAACCAAATAAAGGCAAACAGCACTTTCCAATGGCCTTTGATACTGGGACTGTAACCGTTAAGTTTGGCCTTCATTGATGAGTGTTTACCGAAGACTCTCTGAATTACAGTTTGGAAAGGGATCCTCAGAAGTCCGTTGGCAAATGACCTTTCCTTTGACAGGTGACAGTCAAACTGCAGTAATAGGCTAGAGTTCATATTTCTCAGACACATCCAGGAGATAAAAGGGCTTCAGCCGCCTTCCTTCCTGACGAGTGCCAATTAGTGGAGATACTTTGAGTCTTTAATTATTTCATTCTACCACTGATACACAACCCTCCTGCAGGCTGCGTGACAGCCGTTCACTAACGGGAGATGTATTGATGTGTGTGATTGGTTGTCTGTGTGCACATGTGCACAATATTTCATGTCTAAAAGGGAACACATTTCTGCGTTAAATCTGTAATGAGGGAGTTTAAAAATCATTTGGATGCTTCATAATAACATGAGAACATATCTTTGTTGAACGAATGATATGAGGGATGCTTTTTGCAACCAATGAAACATCAACTTTCCATAGATTTTGAGGTATTATTTCAACAAGAAACAACATGAAAGCAGCTCAGAGTCCTGGTAGAGAGTCCCAGACTGCGTTTGTACTGACGAGTTGTTTAGCTGAAGAAAGGACAGGTTATGCCTTAAAGTATTTTAATGTATTCAGAAAGTCTAATGAGTCAAGAGATGGAAGAAAACACTTCTAATGGGTTTACCTCAAAACACCGTGTAGACAGAGAGGCACCATGGGGAGGGCTATATCATATTTATGACTATAAGAAGCTGATGTAATGTGAAAGTGGTATAGAAGAAGATCCTATCATTGTCATATATTTATTTACATATGTGTTTTTATCGATACTCCTCAATTACTACGACATATAAATAAATGTGTAATTTCATGAGTAATTTTATCAGCTCAATCTTTCAAATCTCCAAGCATAGGTCATAGTGGTGCTGCATTATTACATTATGCATGATTTTATATGAAGCCTTAAGGATACACACAGCTTTCAATGTACAGAGACTCATAGGAAATGCTGAAGGCCCTAGCCAAATGTATAGGCTACAGCTTTAATTAAACCTGGATATTAGTAATCTTCTTACACAACTGCAAAGCTGTCTCTCCTGTGATTCACTTTTTACAGCTCATGGTGTAAAAACACTTTCAGAAATCAATTAAATCAGATGATTAAATGTGTGATTACGTCACAAAACAGGACCAGATTGTTTTAATTTGTAGATCTGATATTAGATCACGTGGCCACTGGGCTAAACATGCATGCACCTGTGCAGGTGCCGCTCTCACCTGTACCACTCCAGACCTCTGTCATAGTTCCTGTCGAAGAAGTGCGTCTCGGTGCCAGCCGCGCGCACGTCCGGATGAATCCGGATAAACTCTAAAACAGCTCTCGTGCCTCCTTTTTTCACTCCAACTATGATGGCATTCGGTAACTTTTTATTCCCAAACTTCAAATTGCTCATGGGAGGGCTCGGCGTGTCGGTGTGGAAGTTCGTGGAGGGTCTTTGATCGCTTTTCAGCCGGGACGCGTCGGCGCTGCTCGGCTGCAGAACGCAGGACTTCTGGATGCGTCTTTTGGCTCCATGATCCAGGACGCGCTGGCAGCTGGGCGTCGGATCACCTGACGTTTGCATGATTGTGTTGGCTGGGAATAGTGCACAATAGCACAAGTATGACAGAAAAAGGGACAATAAGCACAAGGATGTTCTTGTGAGGCGGTGTGAGAAGGGAAGCAACCGATTGAAGAGGAGCACGCATGCCATCTCTCCATGGAAATAAACAGTGCATGATTTTAAAATTGATTCTACGTTCCTTCCTTTGATGATTGTTTTTAGTCTCTCAAGTCGCGAAACTGTCCTCTGTCTCCAAAGCAGGAAAAATAAGACAAAACAAAATCCAAAACCTGCGTCCCGTCCTTTCAGTTTCAGTTTGGTAGTGAAATCCTCCTGTTAAACTCCTGGACGCCTCCATGGTCATCGCGCGCTCTGACAGCTCCAAGCAGGCTGAGAGAAGGGAAATATTTCACCACAGTGACGTCAGAGCCTCTTTGCATAAAAAAGTATTAAGCTCGCTTGTCAGACTCATCTGACTTTATTCTTTTTTGGAACTCAAATTTGTTTTTGTTCTTTTAAATTAGGCTAAGCTTAAAGGGACTACTGTGCATCAACATATGAATATTAAAAAAAGAGCTTCAGTAGGGGGGGTTGAGTCATTGTTGATAGTAGTCTATCAGGTGCAACAAGCATGATCAAAACAGCACATTCAGAGAATAAAAAAATGTCTTCTTTAATTCCTTCAAGTTGATGTTTGTATTCCTGTTTGATTGAACTAAGTGGATTAGCTTAGGTTTTCTTTAATGCTTACTTAAACAAAGATTTGTTTCCTGATATCTTCATTAATTGTTCCTCAATGTTCAAACTACCTTTTGTGCAGCCCTTATGCAGCAACAACATGTCCTCTATACTCCTAAGTGTACATTCTGGTCTGTTTTTAGTAAGTTATTGCATGAATATAAACATTTTGTGAGCATTAGTTGTTGTCTTTGTAATCAGTTTTACAATTTTGGAAAACCTAATATTTTCACTTGACTCTTTTATGACTTCATGAGGGAGCCTCTTGATGTTCACTTTAAATAAGAACCATGCAGCATTAAGGCTCAGTATCAGTTTAATAACAAAGATTTTATAACCTAAGTTTGACTGAAAAAAAGACCAGGTGATAAACCAGCACCTTCTTTTTTTACATCAACTGATATAAAACTTAAGTGATGCATTCCTCTCAAAAACTCGTCACTTAAATTACCGCAAATCAGTCGTCACACACTCTGTAGGCCTGCCTTCTCCTGCCGCCTCAAATCCCTGATGTCGACCCTGCTTTGACTTCCTCCCTCTGAGCACAGGAAAGAGTTGTGTGTGTGAGCAGGGTGCCATCCTGAGGTGTCTCATCCCTCTTACATTCTTGATGACTGATACAAATGCAGACAAGCCCGAGGAGGCAAAAAGAAGAGGAGGATAAAAACTCCCAGAACTGCAGAGACGCATTGGGAGGAGTGGAGGTGTCACAGAGTGGTGCTCCCGCGGGTGTCTGCGCCCAATCTCAGAGGCCTCTGATTAAAGAATGATTTATAGGTTGCTGGTCGGAGAGGCCTGCTCAGCAATCCGTCTACTGAATGAGATTTTTCCTCAGGAAGAGGGCGGGTAAATCAAACCTCGGGACGAGGAGCCTGCACAGTCGGGCGATGGGGTATCAGTGATTAAATGTTATAATCACCTCTGCTGAGTGTGCGGTTGGTTTTTATCAGGGATGCTGGTACCTGAAATCAGTTTACCCTTGGTTTGATTTACACAACATATGTCTTGTTTTATCTTGTATAGAGTGTCAGTCAGTTTAGACTGATGTGCTTTGACAGAAAACAACATGAAGCAATTTATTACAAGACATTTTGATATGGAGAAAAAGGCTTGGCTAGGACACATTTCTTTGTACGTAAGATTAAAAATAAGGGAATATTGAAACTTTACAGAGAATTGCAATCTATCCTTTATGCTGAGATTACATTGAAGAAAATTTCAATTTCAAAAAGGAGGTTGGTTTTAGTATAGGTTTGCACAAAGGGATGAGTCTCTGCAGACTTTATTATGACAGAACATGATGGAAGTTTTATGGAAAACTGAGCGTGTTTTTCCTTAATATTCTCCTCTGGAGTTGACAGAATAAAGGCCTTAGTTTGCTCGCTGACCGCTCCATCAGCAGCACTGATCATTTGTCAAAGAGAGCTGAAGTAGGCGTCATCTCATCCTGACTCTGATAAGTCTCTGAGTGCAGATACAGATGATATCCAAACAACGCTACATTACAGACGGATGAAGAATCACTCCCACGAATACAGTTCACACCCTCTCGTCAAACTGAGCGCGCACACAAGTGTTTTATTTAGTGAGAAAATGCAGCCACAATGATGTTTGCCTGTCAGAATGTCAATTAATACAGTGTTATGATATAAAGTCAAATGTATGATTGAAGTAGAATAGCTGTGCAGCTGCTCAGAGTAAGATCAGATAAAAATCAGGACATTTAATATATATATATTTTTAAATGATTTTTAACAGTCTAAAAGGTCAAAGTTGCTTTACGTTGCCTACTGTATGGCAGAAATAATTTAGACATCCCTTAAACCCTCAAGGTACAGTATGAACAGAGAATTATTCAGTCTGATAGCTCATTTCATATAGTTTCTCTTCAGATCTTTACAGTAAAACATTCCTTAAAAAGTCAGAAAGGTAGAAAATAATAAATGCTCGTTTTATAACAGCGGAAATAAAAAAAACTACTATTTTTGTTTTATTCGACTTAATGAGTTAAATTATATGGAGCTATTGTAGACTTCGTAGGAGCAATTTCGTTCTCCATACTCCCATCAATGTTGCGACACTGACACCTTTTGGTCAGATGATGACATTGCATCCCCAGTACATAGCACAACCTAACCAAAGTGAAAGTGAAAGATGACAGTGTGTAAACATTTGACTTCCTGTAAAGCCTCAGAAGCTTGAAGAAAGATTCACAAGAACACAACAATTCAACAAGCACTCGGCTAACACTAAGTAACTCGATATGAAATGGTTTGACTTTTTGACAGAAGTCGTATTGAACACATTAACCATTTCAAGCAATGTCTGTTAGAGTCTAACGATAATTCGACTATGTAGTGTTTATATGGGTTGGAAGGGGTTTCAAAGTGTTGCATTCACGAACCTATTAGCTTAAGAAAAACGTTACAAAATGTTGTAGCTGATTGGGGTGGAGCAATATTGAAATCCTGTACTTTGTTTAAACTTTGCTTAAACATGAAATATCGTTTTTTGCTGTAACATAAAATGGCAGAATTTGTGTTGAACAAAACAATAAAAATAAAAAGTTGTTAACCAAAAATTAATCTCAAGACTAAGATAGCCTACTACCTCTCAGACTTATGATCAGTGAAATGTAATGAAACTAAAGTCAAATCAAAAGAACATATTTTGACCGGATGAAATCAATGTTAAGTAAGCATTTTGACTTCTTCAAAATCCCCCCCAAAATAATTGTAGCTTTAAATTAACATTTACTTTCAAGATTTTCCCATATATAGCAGGAGAAACATTTGGCTCCCACAAGACATTTTTTCAAAAACTCAAAGGTGCAAAGGTGGTCAATTGGCACCCCAAGAGTGATGTCGTTATCATCTTCTGTTCCATCGTCAGCCACTTTGAGAGTGACGTTTTGTCAGCTCTGGCCAGCGCCTCAGGTAATCATGCAGAAACATGAAATGTTCAATCATACTTCATCCTTTAGATGCAAATCTGATCTGTGTTTTGTGTTTGTGTCAAAGAACAAGGAATCAGGAAAGTCATTCTTGTGGCCATGCATCACAGTTTTGATCAGAACTACGCTTTACCAGAACACAGAGTGTACCAACACCCGAACATTCGGCTCCTCGTGGACTGTCTCTATTTGAGGGTAAGGGACTTCTGAAGTGCCCCATCAATGAACATGCTGTCAAAAAAGTCTGTTGCGGTAAGTCAAGCAGAGTTTAGGATCTAGGAGCTGCTGCAACAAACATCTATTGTAGAATTGTGTTGGTATTTGTTTGAGTTTTGCGATCTCAAATCAAATTACATTTGTTCATAAAGTTTTTGTCATGCCTCCTTCAGAGGCCTGAAAAAAATGTGAATTTACATGCAAGGATGTTAACAATAATTTGAAAACAGTTTTGTGAGGAAAGGGGATTTAAGGATGCTTTTTATCTGCATTTGTCTGCATTTGTGTAACAAACATCAACTAGAAACACCATATATGTCTGCTGATGGTTTTACACTTATATCAAATGCAATACTATCCTGCTGCAGCCCAGGAGCATAACAAAAGCCCCTGAAGTGACTTATAGATAAGAAGCTACAAATAATAGATTTTGTAACTTGAGTATTATTAAATAATGATAAACCTAACTAGGTTAATCATAGGATAGACGACTCCCACTAAGGGGAGCTGTTGTTTAAGCAGTTGTGAAGGCAGGAACAAGTCATACTTCTGTAAGGCCAGTGGTTTCTGCTCCGGGGGCTGCAGCTGGATACTCAATAGATACACGATATTACAAACCTACCTATGAAACAGTTCAGTGACGGGTTTGAACGACACTGTCTTATAATGTCTGTAGGAAAAAGAAATTCATCTTTGTTGTGTTAACAAGAACAGCCAGAGTGTGTGATTGTTAACCATTAGATGCATCTTCTTTATTTTGACTTCAGAAGACGTAAGCTTGAACGTTTTTGTCATTGTCATGTATTCTCTTCTTGAGAATGATATAACACCAACATTCATTCAGTCATTCATTTACTACATGTACATGAGTTTATGCCAGAATTTGACACTTATTCTTTTCTTCTTTTATTTTGGCAGCTGAAGCCTTCCTGGTGCACATTATGCTGTTGCTGCTGCTAAAGATGGCTTCCAGGATCAAGCTAGACCAAAAAAAAGAAAATTAAAAAAACATCAACAACTTAATCAAATCAGGAAATTGCGATCATGACAGAAAGAAGCTCAGGAAAATGAAGGATTTCTCAGAATGAACACTATGATAATCAAACAAATCATTTCTCATATTATTATTATTATTATTTTTGACTTTTTTGGCTTTAATGGAGAGACAGGACATTGTATAGAGTTGGAAATCAGGGAGAGAGAGAGTGGGGAATGACATGCGGGAAAGGAGCCACAAGATGGATTTGAACCTGGGGCGCCCGCTTGGAGGACTACAGCCTACCTATGTGGGGTGCGTGCACTAACCACTGAGCCACCAGCGCCCCTCATTTCTTATATTAATCATATTAACTCTGATGCTAATAAGTTGTTCATGCATGTGATTCCACATATATCTCTTGGTTAATCTCATAATGGTTAAAACATATGGCTGCTATGTTTTTCTATGCTGGTATGCATGGGGCGGCTGTGGCTCAGTTGGTACAGTCGTCGCCTCTCAACCGGAGGGTTGAGGGCTCAATCCCCAGCTGGGCAACATGTCCGATGTGTCCTTAGGCAAGACACTTAACCCTGAATTTCTCCCACAGTATGATACTACATAGTGATCACTACCATGGGTGTGACCTGCAGTGTAAAAGTGCTTTGAGTAGTCAGAAGACTAGAAACTATGAGATGTGGTGAAACATCTCATAGTCATGCACATAGAACTTCACTACTCAAACACACTGTTCACACCCGGCATCAAAATGAGTTTTTGACCCGCTTTTTTAGATTTGGCAGATAAGAATGATAGGATCCCAGAAAGGTTACATATTGCATTTACACATAACACAGTTTGAGTGATATCCCCACTTCTGAGACCAATGCTATCATAGTGAACATTCAGTCTCCTAACCATCTGAAGCTAACACGTCCCTTCTATAGTGGTACCAGTCTTTATTATCTCAGTAAGAAAGCACAGATGTTGAATTGTGTATGTACAACTGCAACACAAGTTCGCTTCTCTGTTTATCTGGTGTGAAGAAAGGACAGTTTGCTTCAAAGAATCAGACCAGTGATTTTGCATATAGCATTCTTAAAATTCACTTATACAATTAATTTGATGTCTGAGGATCATTTAAGATAGAAATATGTTGTATGTTGGTGTACATGGAATAAAAGATTCTTAGAGCTGGAAATAATGTGTTTCTGGCTGCAGTTCACTCCTCTCGTCACAAGGTGGCAGTTATAGATCACATTGGTTTTTTGGTAGGCCTAAAGGAGACCCTGACTCTATTCACACTCAGTTACTGAAAACTTTTTGGTGCAAATTCACAGACTTTGCTGTGAATGTACAAATAAACAACACAGATATTCTACATTAGTAATGTTATTTCCACAGCAGAAATAAGTCTAAATGTACTTTAAACTATAAGAAAGGCTTAAAAACACTTTTACTATTGGTTTACATGTGACAATGTAACAGCTATATCTAAGGTCCTATTCAACAGCCTAAAGCAACACAAAGATAAAAAAAATAATCTCCTGAAGTAGAATCATCTTATTGCATTAAATGATTTTTTTTGACTTACAAATAGAGTGACATTCTCTAACGCACCCTGAGTGAAACACTAAAATCCGTCCTGTTTGCGTGATTGCACACTCTGCGGGCCCACATCTGCATATAAACGTGGACACAGGCCAACACACAAACAAACACACACACACACACACACACACACACACACACACACACATGCCCTCTCATGCACAAACACACTGTGTACAAACCAAAAGTGAGTTCTCACAGACAGGAAATGATGTCAGCTCTTGTCTCCAAGGAGATGGAGGCAGTTGCTAAGATACTGTGACACTAGGATTTTTCTCTCTATTTTCTCTCCCTGTTTCTCTCTCTCTTTCACACACACACACACACACACACACACACACACACACACACACAGGGATGTCACCACGAATAACTCGAAACTCTCGCTTGTATCTCTCTTATTCTCTCGCACAGATGGCAATGAGCACCAATCCAACTTTTTTGTTACATTTTCTAAAAATAACCATCAAAAAACATGACTTTGTTCACAATCCCAATTGGACGCTTGGGGATAAATGGATCACTTATGCTTCTTGGCCAAATCTAAAATAAAAAATTCTACATTCTTAATCTTTGCTTTGAACTGTGTGAAATTATCCCTCCACCCACTTTTACAGCCTGCAGCTAAAACCCCCAAACCAAGCGAGTGATGGATGTGTATCAGCACCCCTCCAAAGCTTCTTCACAGTGTGAGCTGCACCTCTCTGGTGCTATCAGCATGCCACATATGTCTGGGCACTAGCATGTTGCTGCCAAATCCTCCTCGCCCTCCCCCTCCCCCTCCTCCTCCTCCTCCCCCCGTGGCTCCTGAACGCAGCATTAAGAGTTTATGGGGGTTTGGGTTTCGTTTTGGAAAATGTCCTCAGCCCTCTCTGCGCTGTATTTTCTACTCCAAGAGCCTTCCTGTACTGATGACACAAGCAATACAGCGATGAGTGTTTGTTCATTTACTGTGCACAAATGCATGTCCCTCTCCCTCCCCTTTCCTCTATCACTCCCACTCACACACACACACACGCTCAAGGGTGCCAGCACACACACACACACACACACACACACACACACACACACACACACAATCGTAGCCTACATGCATAAGGGGGATATCAGATTCAATGTGCAATGACAAAGTGAGGACATAGAGTGGAAAGAAGAGGGGGGAAGGATGGAGGGAAGGAGGAAGGAAACAGAGGCATAGATGGTGGTGGGTTTGGCATTAACGGCGCCGAATCATTTGAAATGGCGCGGGGGTTGGAAAGGCAAAAAAAAGATGCAGCACAAAGGCAGCGAGGGTCGCGGTGAGAGACTGGATGTGGGCTAAGATTTCAGCATGAGTGATAGGTAATAAGGGGAAGAGGGGAGAACGAGGGGAAAGGAGGAATATCCTCTGCACCACTGTGTGACTGGAAATTTAATAGAGGGAGGGAGGGAGAGAGAGAAAGAAAGAGAGGCGAGAGAGGTAGATGGGAGGGGGAAGGGGAGAGGAAGAGAGAGGCAAAAAGGCACAGAGACCTCATTGCTGTGCGGCTTTCAGCAAAAGCTAGTGGTCGTGAACAATGCTCACTACGGCATTCACACGGAGGGAGGGGGGAGGAGGCAAGAGAGAGTAAGAGAGAGACGGAGAGGAGGAGAGAGAGAGTATATACCTCTGGGGTCTTTCTGAAGCATAACTGGCCTTCTCTGTCCTTTGACCTTTAGTGTGAGCTGAGACACAGCAAAAGATGTACTGAGGTTTATTTTTACCAACAACTAGTCTTTAGCTGAAGCTGCAAAGGGCACTTCTTCCTCTTCTGCACATTTTTGAACCATAATAAATGCTGCCAACATTGTGACAGGGATAATGAGAATACAGGAAGTCAAGCTCTCTACACATGTGGACACACACATGACAGAGATCGATACAGTGAAGCCACTTAGAGAGAGAGACTGGCATCTCTTTACTGACTTAAGCCTGCTTTATTGGCTAATAAGTTGCTGACTTTCTTTTCAATCTGCTAATGAAAAAGTGCAGCTGTCAAGAAGCCTACACCAAACTCTAGAAGCTGCATGCAAAATGCACATGTTCTGCATTAAGCAGTATTTTTTAAACCATGCATACAGGCTAATGGGCTGCAGTGTGATAGCTCTAGTGTGATCTGATAACAAAACATTCAGGCCTTGGATTCCTTATATAGTTTTAAATCCACCTCAAAGTATTGCTTCAGGGTGAAAAGTGCTCAAATGCAAAGACCGCAGAAAACAGAGCTAATTAGTGCGCTAGATTGAATCCTAGCTGGACATTACTAAAATGCACATGCTGGCATGTACATTCATTATGGATATGGACATTAGTAGACCTACAAACTTGTTTAAGCCTCAGTGGAGCAGAAATGTTCCTACTGCAGTTGTTTTAGCTTGTTGGTTAAACGCAGGTGTTTATTGCATGGTGATAAACAGGCCAAACATGGCTGAAAATACACTGAATTAAAATGAACACAGTAACTCAATTCATCCTGCTGAGTCATATTAATGATATGACTGATTACATGCATACAACCTATGCTGTTGAATTTGAATTCAATCCTTTAAGATTTAAACAAACCATAACAATGTTGCATTATATAGCTTCTCAGACGTTTAAATCTCTTAAATACGCAGGTACATCCATAATGAGTTGCTCCTTCATATCTTCTCCTCCTGTCTTAGTGGGATTCAGACTGAAGCATACGGAATGTGCGTAAAGAGCCGCTTGTGCTGGACGCAAAATGCTCTGCCCACCGGGCGCCGTCGCGTTGTGCTGCCTGCGTTCCTCTCCAAGGATGATGATAAGGCGCATGGATGCTCTCGTCCCAGACCTCGCTCCTAAATGTGATAATACTAACATCATTTTCTCCAACGACCCCTTAATCTGATCCCTGCTTTTCCCCCCTCCGTGTGTGTATGTGAGTGTGGATTGTGTTCATCTCCAACCTGCCATCGCTGTAGCCCCCCGTGTTGCGTTGGCGCTGCGGAATAGCCTACAAGAAGAAGAAGAACAAGAGCCAGCTCACTGCCGTGGAAACAAGCGGATACATTTTAGGGGAAGAGGGGGGAAAACGGACAGAGGCTACAAAACTGGCGATCGGGAGAAAGGGACATGGAGAAAGAAAGAAAAACATCGACCTCAAGCTGCAGCCACTGAAACATTAAGGTACGTGTGTATTGGATGCACAGGTACTGAAATGGCCGGCGTAATTATTGCATTTGTTACCTAATCTGCACGAATGCCCCGATCACTCGTAAGGTAACACAAATTGTATAACGAAACGTGCAGAGGTTGTTTGGATGCATGATAGTTCAACTAAATAATTCAATTCAGTGAAAGACGTCTGAAGAATAAGGCTGTGATAGTCCTTGTGAATACATTTTAATAACATGCCTCCTTACATAAGTGTGTATGTTTCACATTTTCACACAAAACCCCTCTAAAAATACCGAGCTATAGCCTATGGATTATTTTTTTGGGTGCAGTCATGTTGTCATTACCCCTAAGAGAGAGAGAGAATGGATGCAAGCCATTTTGTAATGCAGCATGTGCAGAATTAGGCCTATTCAGAATTTCAATTGCGTTCCCGAGAAGGTGC